GAGTAAATAGCAGTATACGTGCACAACACACAATAACAAGTTTTTTTTCATAATCCATGTAGCCATAATATTGTTGTACAGATAACGGGATGAATTTCTTCCCATGAGAAACTCCTGACAAAAATAGGCCTCTGAGTTAATTTATATACATTTTTCCCATTCTCATATTCCCTTTTCATAACCCATGTAGCCATAATATTGTTGTACAGATAACGGGATGAATTTCTTCCCATGAGAAACTCCTGACAAAAATAGGCCTCTGAGTTAATTTATATACATTTTTCCCATTCTCATATTCCCTGCTTTCCTTAAGGTCCTGAAAACAAGAGTCTACTGTCTTGAGGCATGGACCACATTTAGACAACCGCTGCTGTCCAGAAACCTAGGGCAGTTCCACGGACTGGGTGTTTCTGGATCTGCGGGCACACTGCACACACAATTCTACTTTCCATGTGGTATGGGAATTTTAACTTGGGAGCCTTGGTTCCAGCCATTTGAATACTACCCTCTTCTCATATTTCTGGGTGGCATCACAACTGTCCTTTCGCCTCCGCTGCTCCCCACATAATCACTTACTAGAGTGGCAATCCCTTTACATTCTTTCTTTCGTTGGTTTTTGCCACCACTAGGGATTGCAGAGCTAGAATTTGCCCTTCTTAGTATTTCAGTGTCTCTTGAGATTTATGCCAGTGTTACAGCACACACAATCAGTAAGTTGCAAGCGGAAGTGACTTCAGTATCGCAAATTGCCATCCAAAATCATATGGCTCTGGATTTCCTATTAGCTAGCCAAGGAGGTGCTCTCATTAATTCTAGCTGTTGCACCTACTGTATGTTGATCAACAGGGTAAGGTTCTTGCTCATGTTAGGTAATCTTAAACCAGTCTGCCAATTTTCATGCTATTATACAAACTGATGCTTCCTTACCCTCCTTTTTTAATATCTGGAACTCTTTCACCTCTTGGCTACCCGATTTTGGGTGATTAAAATCACTGTTTGTTATGATTCTATTTTTAGTAATGATCGGACTCACGGTATCTTGCTTTATGCAGTGTTTACCTGTATTCACCTCTGTGCTTAAGGGATTGCCTCCTAAAAGGGCTAATGCCCAACTCATGATTTTAAATTCCTATGTTGCAAAGCATGATCCCAATTGTCACCTATGCCTTCAATGACCGTGAAAGTGACACATCGGTACCTTCAGTATGGTTTGGTACAGAGGGTCAAAGGGGGGAATGATGGAGTAGCTTAAAGCCGTTTGAAAAAGTTTACCCCTCCATTAGAATACAAAAAAGCTAAAACAGTAAGTAGTTGAGTCATGTAGGCAGAAGAATTGGAAAGTACCAGGGTCACTAAAGTTCATCATTAGCATAGTAAAAATCACACCCAGAGGTGGAAAGCTTAGATAATGAAGTGCATCCACATGAAGAGATAATTGAATTCTGCCTAGTGATGTTACGCAGAGACTTGCTTATTTGCATTAACCAATAATAAAGTTGCATAACTTCCTTGCCTGAAACTGTACAAATAGTCTGTAAAATTGCAAAACTGTGTGCTTCATTTGCAGCTCACCTCCAAGTGAACCTCTTTAATTCTGTACAGAATAAAATAAAGGATTTTGGTTTCCGCTACTTGTGTTTCATTGGCTACTCACACCAGGTGAACAAACCCAGTGTTGGGCTGGACCAACAATGTTTTC